AGCCGAAGCGCGAGTGCTGGCTGTGTGGGCAGGAGTTTGCTGTCCCGACGCAAAGAGATGCCGACTCGGCACCCCGCGCGCTCCAGCTGGTCGACGGCGTCGGAGAGTTGCCCGGGCCCGAGCTCGTTGGTGAGGTGGAGGGCCGCAATTTTCCTAGCCTGATCCTGCACCAGGCATTCCAGGTCGGCAAGGGTACTCTGAGCCATGGTGAGCTGGCTCGCCAACCCCGCGCCGCCGGGCGGCCCGCCCGCTGCCAAGTCCTTCTCCCGGGCCTCCAGCTCGGAGGCCTTCGCTGATATTGCCGCACGCTCGGCGCGGGCGCTCTCCAGATGACGAGCCTCGCGCCCGACAACGGCCTCCTCGCGTTTCGCGAGTTGCTCGCCTAACTGGCGCGAGGCTACCTCGCGGCGATTCACCTTGGCTTCGCGCTCGGCGAGTGCGGCATCCAGTTCCCGGCATGCCTCTTCCCGCAGCCGTAGCTCTTCCGCGCGGCGGTCCGCGGAAGCTTTCGCGGCGAGGGTGATCCGATCACGCTCGGCCGCGGCCTCTTCACGGAGCCGAAGGGAAGCCTCCACCTCTGCCGCCGTTCTCTCATGGGTGGCCAAGGTGGACTCCCGCTGATCTTGCAGGCGCACTCGCTCCTCCAGCTCCCGGGCCCGCTGCGCCTGTTCTTCACCGCGCGCATTTTGCTCGCGCTGGTTTCGATCGAGGACCTAGATCCGCCGACGGATTGTGGCTTCGAACTCCTGTGCGGAGCGGGCACGATCATCCAAGGCCCTGCGTTCAGCCTCGAGTGCCGTCGTCCAGGCCCGCAGCGAGGCGTCGGCCTCCGATGCCCGCCGCCCGTGGGCAGCGGCTGCGTCGAGGATGCCGCGTGCGTCCCTGATCCTCTTCGCCAAGTCCTCGGCGTGAGCCTCGTACTGAAGGTGGATATCGCCCAGCGCTTCATCCAGGACGCTCGAGGCGATCAGCGCCGCCTGCCGCTCCTCCTCCGCCTCCCGCATGACGGAGTCCAGTGCCTCCTCGCGCGCCTAGATTTTGGTTAGTTGGGTTTGACGCATTTTGCGCCCCACCCTTACCATGTCGTCTACGGCGCGACGCCCCTCGTCGACTCGCGCGCGGTCCGCGGCGAGCTGTGCCCACTCTGCATCCAAGGCCGTCCGCTCTTCCGCCAGGGCTTGAACTTGGGTGTTCAGCCCCTCTCGTACAGTGGAGTCGGCGGCGGCGAGCACCTGCAGAAGTGGCTCCATACTCGTCGGAGTCGGGGAGGAAAAGGCCGTGGTCCGTCCCCGGGACGACGGGGTACTGCTGGATCCCTCGCGAGACTGGGAGCTGCTCTCGGCCCCCCTTCTGCGAGACCAGCCTCGAGGGCGCCCCAAGCGCCCAAGAGGGAACGGCTGTCCCTCTCACCCCCCCGCTTCGGGTCCTCGAGTGGATTCAGCCTCGGCCTCGGCCTCGGGCTCGGGACCGTCCCCGGCCTCGGCCTCGGCCTCAGGCTCGGGACCACCTCCGGCTTCGGCTCCCAGGCCGCGACCTCCCTCACCCCCCGATCCAGGGTGGTGCTCCGCGTGGACCCTGGTCCCGGAGCCGCCCCCGGGAGGAGCGTCGCCACCCCTGTCGCCCGCAGCAGGACGGGTCCCGCCTGAGGGTCGCTCGGGATCAGGCCCGGTGCGTGTCCTCTGGGTCCCGCCGCGAGGCTGCGAAAACCCCACGGCCTTGGACTGGCCGGGCCCACACTGCCCCGACCGTTCGGATTTCGTCCCTTGCAAGGGGTCTGACCCTGAGATTCCCTAAGAAGGAATCTCGCTACAAGAGAACCTAGATATGTTAACAAAAGAAAAAGAAGAAACAAGAGAATGGGTTGGGTAAGGGCACCGAAGTGAGCGCCAACAATCGTACCTACGGGGAGGGTGGTTGAAGGTCCACTTTGGGGGCTCGATGAAACCCCCCCGGCATGGCTCCGTTTGCCCTATCTTCCGGAGCCGCTTCTTTTTCTGACCAGCCTCGGGCCCGGCAGGTCGCTTGTGGCCCGCTGGCGAATGATCCGTTGCGCGCTCGGCACCTCCTCCATGCGGGGGAGAGGGCGGCCGGGGATAGGCCACCTTTCGCTTCCCCTTTGGGTCGCCGGCGGAATCGTCTCTGGGTCCGCTGCTCGATCCAGGCGCCCTTGAGCCACCGCCGCCTGGACTGCCGGCCCGGCTCCCGCTCAAGGTCGCACCACCGCCACCCGTGCCGACGGCGCTACAGCTGGCGCCGCCTCCGCTGGACCGGCTCCTACCGGCGCCAACGGCTGACATCACGGCCAGGATGCTCTCCCGGTCGCGGTCGCAGCAGAGGGGAAGAATCCCATCTGGGATTAGTGTTGGCTTGGCAGAGTCTAGGCCAAGCACCCGGCGAATCACCCTCTTCGCGTCCTCCTCACCCCAGTCCCAGCGCTCGCCCACATGCGTCTGCATGGGGTCGTTGGGACCGGTGTATTCCCACGCTCTACGGGATCGTTCCTGAAGAGGTGCGATGCGGCGGCGGAAGTAATCGCCAAAGACCATCGCCCCCGTGAGGCCAAGGCTCCGCAGGCCCCTGAGGCGATCCCACACCGCGTCGTATTCCTCGCCCAGCTCCGAAGTCGCCAGCCATGCGGCAGACCTTTCAGGAGGGCCAGCGGGAACTCGAAGTCGCGAATGGTCCGGCAACGCAATGTAGAACCAGTCCTTCTTCCAGTCCTCCCATTTCTTGCGGAGATGGCTCTCGATGTACTGACCCGCTGTGCCTGGCCGGGGCTGGAAGTAGCATCCCCCCACCACCGCGCTTTGTAGCAGCTGTGGGATGAAGAAGGCCTGGAACAACCACATCGTCGGTCACACCCCAATGAACATCTCGCACAAATGCGCGAAGATGGCCAGCGTCATCACGGCATTGGGTGCGAGATGCAAGGCATGAATTTCGTACAAATCCAGAACCTCATGGAAGAATCTGGAGAACGGCGGAATCAAGCCCGCCATGGCGAAGGACAAGAGGTGCACGGATCGCTCCGGATATCGTGGCCACGGCCGCGACTGTCCCGCCCGCACGACGGCACCGTCCGGCATGATCTTGCGGGGAAGGCTAAGGTGCCTGTCTGCTGTGATGCGGGAGGAAGGGAACACTGTGTCGCCGGTGTCTTGGGCCATGGCAACCGGCGGAGAAATGGCGGAGAGCGTGGAGCGCGAGACAGTATGAGGTGGCGAGAATGTTAGGGTTCGAGAAGCGAAAGGACGAGTGGGCGGTTGGCGAAAGGAAGGGGACAGAGTCTCCGCCTCCGCCTCCCCTCATCCGCGCTCGCCTCCTCGTTTCGCGCTCCCATACTTGCTCCCACGATCCTCGCGCCCGCATTTGTCTCTTCGCATCCTGCGCCCACTCATCACGTCGCCCGTTGTATCCGCTCCCGCCTTTAGTGCGTCTGTCAGTGGCACACTCAAGGTGAAGTGCGCAACGGCCATGAGCGCAAGTTGAGCAAACCGTCACAACTACCGCCGCAGGAGTAGCGAGCGAGAGAATCGAGGCGTGGTCTGACTGACCCCCCCTCTCGGTTATCACGCCTCAAGCATCTTCATCATGAGCGCGGTCAGTGGCGGTCAAACCGCTGTTATGGTTAGCACGCCAACCTGGCCACGCGGCGATATCCTTTTGGATTCCCTGCCGGGCCCACAACCCCAGCTCGAGGAGTCGTGAGGCGCCATGTCAGAACGATCTCAGGAAATCGATATCTGATATAGCGCCGGGGGCTACGTCGGAGATATGGACCCGGGGGTATGTGAAGTAGAGGGGAATTATTTTCCCTCCGGCCATGTGACTCTGCAAGTTACCTCCATTCACACGTCACGCGAGTCGTGGAAGCGCCGGGAGGGGGGGGGCCTCGGGGCATGGCGTCACCCCCCTCGGTCTATCCCGCGGCTTCACCCCGAGGCCCTCACCCGGCTGCCACGCGGCGGAGGGAGAGAGCGAGAGGGGAGCACAGGCTGAACAGCCATAAATGTGCGACGCCTCATCTGTCCCTCACTGCATTTAATGCGGTAAGGACAGACGTGCGGCGCGCCTAGCTAACCTCTGTCCAACAGATGTGACCGGTCTGTGACCGGCCTGTCACCGTCACATCCGATGGATAGGGCAATCATGTCCTCACGTCGCCCTTGTACCCGGCGGAGTGGGGGTGGGTATGACCCGTCACATCCGAGCGTCACTCGAGGAAGGGCTGTCGCAAGTCATCGTTCATTGATGAGGGAATGACAGGGTTGTCCCCCGTGTCAGGCGGGGCCAGTTGTTGCTTAGCTTCCGGGAGAAGGCACGGTTTAAAGCCCAGGAAAAGTGAAGTGGGATCCCCCTCCGATAGAGGGTAGGTGGAGGCGGCGCATGTGGTATCCCCTTGAGCTATAAAAGGAGGACCCTGCCCATTGAGATAAGGGGACGACGCCCAGAAAACCTGAACTCCAGAAGAGAGGAAGCGAGCGCGCTTTCTAGAGTGAAGAAACCTTTGTAAAACTCATCTATAATCCCAAACACAGGAGTAGGGTGTTACGCTCTATAGCGGCCCGAACCTGTATAATCCGACTGCGTGCAAGCTTGCCGGTAATCTTAGGGACGAGCGAGTGATTTCCGAGAGACGAGCCTCCGCCCCCGGCCGAACTCACAAATGGGGGGTCTCACGACTCCCCGCTATTGTGGATCTTCCCTCAACAAGGTCTCTTCGAGAGGAAAAAGTCAGTATGGAAGCACGGATCTTAAACACAGATCCAACGGCCAGAGAACCGACTATAATCAACGAAAAAAATCTGTCGACACAATTATAGCAAATCCGTTTCATTTTTGACGAAAATGTTACCGGACTGGCTTAGTTCTTTTAGGCTACCAGCTACTAAGATTATTATGGGTGCGCAGCATGCTTCTCAAGTCTTAGTCGCTAAACGGTTGTTTTTCTAAAAAAGTTTCATATGTAATATTTAAAAAACTAAAATAAATTTATTTTTAAATTAAAAATAATTAATATTTAATTAAGCATCATCTAATCGAGGCGCAGCCGGCTGGCCCGCCGGCTGCGATTTGGTCGTCGCATGTAGTCAAAGTCAACAACGATAATGATGTACACTAGCTTATTCTATCTGCAATTCTGCCACCACGACGCCCACGCTAAGTAGCCGCAGCAATAACAATGTAAGGTGGCCAGCAAAGCAGATGAACATGGCCAGCCATGTCCTCCTCCACCTCTTCCTCTGCTGCACCACCCTCCGCGCCGCGGCGGCGCTCTCCTTCGACTACGACTTCGCAGCCGTGGGGCGGGACGTCGCCGCCGCAAACCTCGTGTTCATGGGCAACGCCTCCTACGCCGGCGACCGGATCAACCTCACGAGGCTGGGCACGTGGAGCACCGGGCGCGTGGCGCACCGGCAGCTCGTGCGGCTCTGGGACGACGGCGCCGGCGGGTCGGTCACCAGCTTCACCACCGCCTTCTCCTTCGCCATCGGCCGCAACTCCACGAACCAGGCGGACGGCATGGCGTTCTACGTCGGGCCACCGGCGGACACGCTCGCGCCGGACATGACCGGAGGGTTCCTCGGCCTCATCCCCAACACCGGCGAAGCCTCGCCGCGCACCGTCGGCGTAGAGTTCGACACCTGCAGGAACCCCTGGGATCCACAGGACGGCGTCATCGACCACATCGGCGTCGACGTCAACCAGATTGTGTCCCAGAACTTCACCGCTCTGCCGACCTTGACCCTCGCCGGCGTCATGCGGGCGGAGATCAGGTACGACGCCGCCGCGAGGAAGATGGTCGTCAACCTGACGGCCAACGGGTCGAACTACGGCGTGGAGGCGGCGGTGGACCTGAGAGCCGCCGGCTTGCCGCAGGACGCGGCCGTGGGATTCTCGGCGGCCACCGGGGAACTTGTCGAGTCGCACCAGCTCCTCTCTTGGTCCTTCAACTCAAGTACAGGTATGTGGCTTTTCATCAGCATATTTTACTAGTATACCATGTTTTCCACGCGACGAAAATTTTCTCTTGGACACGTGCCATACGGTCCGTGCTATCAAACTGTATTTCACTAGTACTCCGGTTTCATTTTAACTGACGTTTTGAATAATGACACAGTTTAAAATATATACCTTTGACCCTTACTTTTCTATTATAATATATACAATAAATAAATACATGTTTACTTTTATTATAGTGTTTTGTAAGACAAATCTATATATGTTGTTATAGTTTCTTTAAACAAAATATTTTTAAAGTTATTGATCGTCGAAGTTATAAAATTTTGACCTCAACCTTATCCAAAACATCAATTATTATAAAACCGGAGGGTGTACACCGGTCACTTAAACCGGCGTATAGCCGCGTAGGTTATCTGAAGCAGTATTTGCAATTTCGGTAACCACCGAAATTTCTTGCGAAATTTTGAAAAATTCGTGAGTTTCAATGTTTTACCGAAATTATTTGCAATTTTAATATATTTAACTGAATTTGAATAAATTTTAACCAAATACACAAATATTTGAAAAAAAATCTGAAAAATTTGGAGGAGATTTGTTCTTGCGCGAGGGGGGGGGGGGGCTCCGAGATGATAGAAATTCAAATCTTGGATCTGAACATGATACCCCGAAATTGCTATCTCGCATAGCTTATAGATCGACGTGATAAAGCTGATCTCTCACCTAACTAGCAGTGAAAAACGGACTAAATTTGGATGGATAGTAGGCATACCATATTTTTTAAATGCATTTGGAGCCGGTGCCGATGCGGATGAAGAGTGGATTGTTTCAAATATCGGAAATGGTAAGGAGTTGGTGTGGATTTGATTCGGAAACATGTTAAAATTAATGAATGTTACGTGTATATGTGATCAATATAACATCAAGTTAGCAATACAATGGAAAACAATATAACAATCAATTAACAAACCGGTAATAACTATATGCTTAAGTGCTAAACAACATTGATACATGACATCCATAATATGAAAATACATCTAGATAAGTATGAGATAAGACGGTGAGTGCCTCAAATTAAGTAGTCTATAAATGGGCCATCTTATGTTGTATGGAACAAATAAAGTGGTAACATTGGTTCAACAATTTTGGATTGTCTGGTAAACGACTTATCAAATAATATGATACAAAATTTCATATAATCTACACCCGATAGATCTTAGAGATACCACATCCATATCCTAATTTGCACCATATTATCCACATTTGTATTCATATCTGCCATATTTCTATAAGCTCAAACCATATCCTTGTTTCGAATCGATTCGGAGTGGATAAGACCAGATATTTTTCGATCCGTTTTCACCTCTACAACTAATTAATGATAGGGGCAATGCTTAGCCTTTTTTGACATTCGCAAAAATAAAATAATAACTAAATAGTTGATTGAATGTCTTAAAAAATATGAGTTTCCATTTTTACTTTTAGATTTGAGACGAAGGTTCAAAAGTTTTAATTCAAAGTTTGAAATTTTGGGGGTAGAGTTTTAAAAAATTTTAATTGAAAGTTTCAAATTTTGGGGAATATTTTTTTAAAAAAAATTGGAATTGGAAGTTTGAAGTTTCAATTGAAATTTTTCAAATTTGAATTGAATGTTCTCAAAATGTAATTGGAAGGGTTTATATTTTTGTTGATTTTTTAATTTCAGTCAACACTTTACATTGAAAAAAGTGCTAACGAATTAAAAAAAGAAACAAAAATACTAACATGGAAATCATCGTGAGAGCGCGTGGTGCATGCAAAACATGTGACGCTCGAATCCGCGACTCAAGTTAGTGCAGGAGGAGATGGTGTGGGCTGGAACTGTGCGCCGTGAACAAAACTGCACGAATTAGACTCCCACACACCCAAGGGTATCACTATCGGTTCTCACACCAAGCTAGTGATAACCAGGACGAACCGATAGTGATACTCATTAGCCTAAATTTGTATTTGAAAACCAATTTATACATTCGGAAACCAACATTATCATAAGTTTGAGAATAACAACTGTGCCCTCACAATAAACAGATCAATAATTGCATGAAGAGTAGATTCCAAACATTATAGTTTTGAGCACAAAAACAATTTGGGGTATTTTTTAGATAATGGAATAAAAATCCCAGCCTCTGCATCATGTGATGCACACAGCCGTTAACTATTAAAATAATGTGCTACTTGTTATCTGCACCATAAAGTAGTAAACACTATAAAGGAAATAAACTTAAATATGTGGAAAATCAAGCACATATCCTATTAGTGAACTTCCATCCATGCTTGGTGAATATCTCCAACAAAGTATTCTCCAAAAGACGACACGCCACTTTTATATGGTGTTTGTAACGCTCCGCTTTTCGTGAGACGTTAAAAACTAATTCGGCAAAATTCTAATTGCGAAAATTTTCGTTCTTTGAGTGTTGAGTCTAAGTTGTGCCAAAGATCTCAATTTAAATCCCTCCCTTGTCTCGATACCCTGTTATCAACGATCGTCTCCTCAAAATTTCCATCCCAATATAGTCCCGAAGCTCGATTCCTTCTATTCGAAATACCCTCCTGGAACCCCATCCGTGAACTTTGTCGAATGCCCGAACCCTAACTCCGTCCAGGGATTCACCTTCACGTCATAAACTCTCTCCTTGGTTCGTTCAAACCGATTCTCAAATTCGAATTCAACCTCTCAGGTTTTGATTCATCTATCTTTCTCTCTTTATCGGTTCGTCAATCTACCCTTGTTTTATTTCTCGAACTTCTGACCCAAGTCTGAATATGCAAATCGAGATCACTTCCACCCTTGAACTCTAAACCCCAAGATTCAATCTCTTTCGCCTTGAGTTCTCCCCAAAATGATTTCCGTTCCGAAATAATCTCAAAGTCCGAACCCTTCTATTCAGACTTCTCTCCAAAATCCTTACCCACATATCTCGTTGAGTAGTCAAACTCAAACTCCCAAGTTACACTCTCTTTCTCTAAATTATCCATCTCCCTTTGACTCGCCTCCGAATATTGTTCCCTTCCTTGACTCCACCTTGTGTCCCAAAGACCAAGCATCAAATTCGAAATCCAAAATCCAAATCCCTCCCAATTCAATTTCTCTGTGAAAGTCTATTTTGCCTCCTCATATTTTGGATGGGCCGGATCCCCTCCCCTCTGCCCACCCCCCCCTCAGCCGTCCTCCTCCCTCGCTCCGCACGTGTGGCGCACGCGCGTGCGCCGACGCCAAGCCGAGAGTCTCTCTCTCTCTCGTTCTTCTCTTCCTCTCCCCTCTCGTTCTCGCCCTCCCGGCGTTGATCTCCCGCCGCCGCCTTTTGAATTTCGCCGCGCCCTCGCGCCCGCGCGCGCGCTCGCGCGTGGCCGACCGCCTGGCATCCCGCCGCGTCAAGCCCTAGCACCGCCTGTGCCCGCGCTGCCTCCCGGCCCGCTGCTGCCTGTGCGCATGCGTCCCAGGGATGGAGGCAGAGCCCTCGGCCTCGCTCCCCTCTCCCTCCTCCTTTCCCGTTTCGGCAAGTGCAGAGCTCCCTTTCTCCCCCTCCTTTTTCCTTTTGCCCGACCACCATCGGCGTCACCGCCTGCCACCGCCTGGACCACGGGTGCGACCGCCAGCTCCTCTCCTTGACCGCCACCAAGGTCGGTTTCCCTCCCTCCCCAAACCGACATCGCCTCCACTATAAAACCCAAGCCGCCCCAAACCCCCCTTCTTCTCTCGTTTTCGCTCGCCACACACTCACCGCACCATTGTTGACGCCTTGCCGCCGCTCCCACCTCTTGCCTTCGCACGCGTCGGAGGCCGGTGCGTGCGTGGACGCGAGACGAGGACTCCGGCCATCCCTCTTCTTCCCTTCCCCGGCCCGAGGCCGGAGAGCTCGCTCCCGAGCCGTCGGCCGCTCGTCACTGCGCCCGTCTCGGCTCGGTAGTGCCACCCCCCCGTTCTCCCTTCTCGCTCGTCCTCTCCCTCCCTAGTTCGCGTGGTAGCTCGGCTAGCCCCCCCCGAACACGCATGGACGCTGCCCCAGGTCTCGCCGCCGCCCGCCATAGGCTTGCCGCCGTTGCCGCCCGCTCCTAGAGGTAGCTCACCGTCGCCGGCCTCCCTCGGAGGTCCATTGCCCCATCCGGCGCCGGAAATGAGTTCACCGAGCCCCGGATATGCTCCCGCCGCCTCGAATCGAACCCCCGATGACCACCGGCGATTCCCCTCTTTTGCCGCCGCCAACGGTCGCCGCCGCAATCCGCCGCCGTCGGACCTCCTCCGTCGCATCCGAGCCATGGGATCGTCCCCTCTCGTCCGCCTCTTTGTCCCGGTGTGCTCCCCCATGACCGAAGACCGTCGATCCGTGCTCCGGTGAGACCCCCGCCGCCCGCCGTCCATCTCGGCCGGCCTCCTTCTTCCTCCTCTCGCCGGCCTGCGTGGCATGCAACGGAGGCGCCACGTCAGCGCCACCTCGGCAAAGACCGAGTCAAGGCGGGTCCGCTCTCTCCTCCCTCTCGGTGCGCGCAATCCACGGAGAGCCTAGCGGCTGCGCGTTGGCCCGCCTGTCACGTCCTGATAAATTTATCCCGAAATAAAAATCATCTTCTAAAAGGAATAATAGAATTAATTAAAATTCGAAAAGAAATTGGCAAACCCTAAAATACGTACAAGAAAAATTCAAATGTGACCCGGAGAATTTTTGTTAAATTCTCCTTGGTCTAAAAGGAGCCCTCAAATTTTAGTGGAATTTTCAGAGCACAAATAATAAGTGAAAAGAAATAAACAAAGTTAAAAAGGTTTTATAAAAAGAAAACCCTAAAAGAAGTCTTTTCCCCCTCCAGTAAGAGAAGCTTTGGAGAAGATGTCTTAGGTGGAGTCCTGGCTTATACCCCAATTGAGCGCCTGTGAAGATGGAGCCGTAGGCCCGCTAGTCCGCTGCTGTTTATTTTTGATTGTCAGGCCTGAAGCGCCTTTGTAATAATGTAAATATTATCGATATAATA